ACGACGTGGCCGAGGCGGAGGAGCACTTTCCCGCGCCCGCGCGCCCGCGCTCGCCGTCGCCCATCAGCACGCTGAGCCGCCGCGCGGGCTCCGCCAGCCGCACAGACGACGACGTGCCGTCGCTGCACTCGGAGCCCGCGGCGCGCAGCAGCTCCTCGCAGGGCTCGCTCATGGAGCAGATCAGCAGCGTGGTGACCCGCTTCACCGCCAACATCAGCGAGCTCAACTCCATGATGCTGTCCACCGCGGGCCCCGGCCCCGGCGTGGGCGCCCCGCTCTGCTCGTCCTACCTGATCCCCAAAGAGATCCAGCTGCCCACGACCATGACGACGTTCGCCGAAATCCAGCCTCTGCCCGCCATCGAGGTCACCGGCGGCGCGCAGCCTGCGGGGGCGGCCCCGCCGGCAGGGGGCGCTGCCAGGGAGACGCCCACGGCCGGGCCCGAGGCTGCAGCCGGCAAGCAGGAGCTGGAGGAGTTGGTGGCTCTCACCCCTCCGTCCCCCTTCAGAGACTCGGTGGACTCGGGGAGTACAACCCCCAACTCGCCAGTATCCGAGTCGGCCCTCTGTATCCCATCGTCTCCCAAATATGACACACTGATCATAAGAGATTACACTCAGAGCTCCTCATCATTGTGAATGTCATTGGAAACCACGCTGGGTTCCGCGACCGGACCCGAGACCGCCGGTGTTTCACACAGACACAGTGACAAGCGTAGTCGCTCGGTTAAGACCAGAGGTGGAAGATGCCTAGATGGAAACATGAGATTATTAGTGCTATTTAACATCGACCGACGAAGACACCAACTACAAAATCTTTTGGCAGATTTTCTTCTAGTGGCCTTAGAAAACAGGGGCTTTTAGAAACACTGCTTATATTTTTGAGGGCTGACAAGGAGTCTGTTGAAACAGTCACATATCAAGTGCTTTGCTCTAGGGAAGCAATGAGTGTGAAACAGCATATTGGAGGGGAAAAGCATAGTTAATAAGTAACTGTAAAAAGTTTTGTTTGTTTACTTTAGTTCTTTTCCCAGAAGATTCTTTGGTTCACCAAACATGAATGTACATTTTCTAACAAACTCAAAATCTGGGACCAAAACGTCAACCTGTACCTTTTTCTTTCTTTCTTCTTTTCTTTATTTTTCTTTCGTCTTTCCTTTAAAGACCTTGAAAAGCGATAACTTGGGCCCGGTATTTACTAAGGCGTAGTGAGTGGGTCCCAGGCAAAACACACAGCTGGATAATGAGTGCCGCGCTGATGTATGTAGGGCTTTTTCCAGAGACTTTCCTCTCCGATTTGGTTGTGAAATCCTCTTCCAAAAGCCTGCATCCGGGATTCCACCTAGTTATTTCAATTCATCTCCATTAACCAAGAAAACCAGTGGAAGATTTCTTGACTATTTCACCATGTTGCCAAATCAATACTGGAGTAGCAAAAAAATATTTTCTGGAATACTGTTTTGTAATTCCCTCACTGGGGTGCGTTGTGTAGCTGGGAATTCTCTTTATAATAATAATTCTTAAGCTCCAGCTTGGCTCTTTCATGAAATGTGGCCACTCCTCCTTATGAATGCTGTTCTGTTAGCATTGCCAGCTAAAATATTAATATAATCATTTGGGCTTCTTCATTCTTTTCTTTCAAGAACCTGATGCACAAAAAGCTCCTCTGTTCTTTTCAAGTCCCACCACTGGAAGAATGGTCCATAGACCCAATGAAGACATTGTTATGACTAGAGGGATTGTTGTTCAAACAATTAACACAGTCTTAATACACTGGAAATTTTAAACTGTCTACTTGGCTTAGCAGAGATTTAGCCAGGCCATTGAGCAGTGATTTTAACTTTTCTTGGCTGCTTAAACAGGGCAGCTATAAACTATGACAAATGTAGATTTTTCAAAGCAATACAGAATATTAAAACAGAGGAACCTTAATGAATATAAACCACACAGTCTTTCTTAGCCATTCCAAAAAGAGGCCAAGCAATTATTAATATTTTCCTTTTTAAAATAATTATTAATATGATTCTGTGCACTTCATACTGTCACTTTTTAAATACTGCAGAAAAGAGATTTAAAGTTATAATAGAAATACATGTGCTTTGATAGGCTCATATAGATAGGATTCATAGCTCAAGACCTGCATCCACTGTCATCTCTTCCTCCCATTACAGCTATCCTCAGGTGCCAAATGTTTTTGATTTTTTTAAAAAAGGATAGTAATAAAAGGAGGAGGTGTCCTATAAATTTAAAGTTCAGTTGACCCAGCCTTATACTAAAGATAGCCTTATGAAAAAGATTTGCTACGAAGCAGAAGTATATTTTTGGCAGAGAGAAAAATAACTAAAACCTTTTTCCTTTTACTCAATATCCTTATTTTGATATGTATTTTTAATTTCATATCTACTTAAAAAAGGAATTGAGAAATGGAAATATATCTATCGCCATAATTTATCATTCTCCACTTTTACAAGCTATAATGAATATACTTTCCTGATACCTGTTCTTACATTACATTTTCAATCAAATCTCTCAATAATAAAAAATATTAAAAGCTAACATCAATTTACTAAAATATAAATCAAAAAAATCAAACCTTCCATGGCAGATTTGAAAGAAACATCATGAGAGTACCCTGATCTCAAATATTATAATGGTACTCTTGAAACAGAACAAATCTAGCTAATATTATGGCTTTGTTGAAAGCAAGTGTCTGCCTCTACTTGAAAAACAAATGTAAATGTTTTGAAGTAGTATTATTCCTAGATCCTCATCAAAAGGGTGGCATTCACCTGGGGATTACTGTCTTGATTTCTTAGGCATCGAAACCTTTCTAAGTATGCTCTACTATCTAAGTTTTAAAATTTGTTTTATATAACTCCTACCTTGATTTCCATTTTATTCTCAAGTACAAGTTTCACTGTGTTAACCAATAGAACATTTTTTGAACTTTATCCATGCTCAAATTCCTTTTCTAACTTTTTAGTAACATATTTCTTTAAAAAGCACACTAATTTATGAGAAAATTCCTTAGAGATTAAAATTTAATGCAGATAAATTAACATGATAATTCCATATGAAATTAAAATCAAATGTCAGAAAAGTAATCGATCCAATTAGAGAACAAGATGTATTTTTCTCTGTATTTCTATACACATTGCCACTTCATTCAATACACTGTATAATACATATTATCAGTAATGCACTCTTGAGATCTTTTATTTTGGAATGATGCTAACTCTGTCTGCCAATTCTCATACCAGGTTCCAAGTAATAAATCTACAATACAAAGAGAACTGAATATTCATTCTAGGGCTAGGATATGAACTTCACAAGTCATTTGGGCACTTATTTTCATTGAATTTCCTTGAAAATAATCTGTTCCTGGTGCCCAGTGATAATTCAGTTGGGATTAAAAGGATGAGGAAAGTACAGTGAAATGGTAAGTTTCAAAAAAAGTGACCCAAAAGGACAGTTTGGTCCCTGGATGAAGAAAGAGAAGACCTGGCTTGATCAAGTTATACGGACTAACTAAGCAGTCCACCCATCCTTCAATTTGGGGAGAGGAGTAGGGTCAGCCTGAGAAGATCATATCTGGATTTGGAAGAAGCATCTACCTAAATTAGGGGTGGGGAACAGAAAGGGAATATGGAAAGGGGAACCAGATGAGATTTGACTAAAGCAAAGAATAAAAACCAAATCCCCGAACGTGCTAAGCTTTGATAGTAACAGGCTTTCCCAAGTTACTGCTATTACTAGCAAGTGATCAGAAGGACTAGGAGCTATTTCTGACTGTAAATGAATTGTACAATGGCTCTACTGCAGTTCTGTGACTTCCAAACCAGGAATTAAACACTTATTAAAAAAAAAAAAAAAAAAAAAACACATTTCTTATGCTAGTCTCCCAGCAAAATGTACATGTTTTGGAGACTTCAAAGGTATTATCTGAGTTCACATTTAGCCACAGCTTATTAATAACCCTCAAGCTGTCAGAATCTCTATAGTTACCATTTACAATTTTATACTGTGAAAAAATACAGATCAGTGAAAAGCATAAAGATAAATTAGAGTTCACTTTAAAGAAGGTCTGAGGCCTGAGAGATTGTCTACTATCTGTTGAAGAATGAGGCATGTATAAAATAGTTGGTCGAATTTCACTGATCTTCCCAATGTGAACAAATATACTATGTATATTGTGTGTATTTCTAGATTTCAATGGCAGCTGCTGGTGGTGTTGTAATTAGAAATCTATATAGAATATAGATGTTTTAGGGAGATGGTGCCAATTCTAAAAGATTTCTGTGGACTACAAGTGCTTGTACTTACTTTTTTCTGCACTTATAACTGATTTGGTTTTAAAATTGTGTGCGCGTATCTGTTCTTTTTCTGTTGCAGCTTGTACTATTAAAACGATAGAGAATGTTAAATTATTTTGATGTGAATTGCAAATGATTTTTTTCATAAAGTTTAACATTTTTATCAGCATTGTTTCGCTTTGTACTTGTATAAATGTGTTTTATTTTAGCATTTTAAAATACACTTGCCTGTTTCTCAGTTGTCTAAATCATGTTATAGTTGGTGTTTGTGAAGTCAGTTACTTTTTGAAAAATATTAAAAAAGGAACTATGATATGACTTTAAGATTCTTCCCCTTAAATGTTTAGAATGCTGTCTTAATAGTGTTTTCTAAGACCCAAAGAGCCATACTCTTACTTAATCTTAAATTCTGAATGATGTACACATTCGAATTATGGGGTTTACAATAAGCCTATGGACGGTAGAGGAAAACAAAAATATAAGCCAAACACAAACCAACCAGAGATGCTGTCCCAAAAGACATCTACAAATACATTTTAAGACATAAATACTTTTTTAAAACAAGGAAGCATGTAGGGAATATACCTTGTTTTTTGTGTCTGGAACACAAAATATAAATTATAAATTATAGATATAGTTCCACAATTATCTGTGTTGAGATAACATCACAAAAATAATATAAATTGTATGTAGATGTATGTATATGTATATAGATATATACACATCTATACAGATATTTATCTTTTGAGTCCATTTATACATATTTTTGCATGTGTATGTGCATGTATGGGCATATCTATATAATTTTCCCAGAAAAAAATTTTTACTTGTCAAATCACTTTTTACTTTGATGAATTCTTAAGCAAATTTACACTCCCTGGACACAAATTAGCTAAAATCTAAAAGCATAATATAGGCTGAATGCTTAATGTGTGGAAGAGAAAGACAATGTAGATTCTAAAATATAGCTTCTCTCTGCTTCCCTACATTATATTTATTTATACACACCATTTATATACATATATTCTTATAGTACATAATAAAATTGATACAA